CACAACGCCGGAGAAATGTGAAAATGTAGCTTTATTTCAACAGTTAGGAATTTAGTCCACACTAACCCGGACCGAAAACGGAGCTTTCTGAAAGCGCTCTTCAGACTGGAAGAATTTGAAAACGCCGGCTTTGTGTTTTAGAGCGGACGGAAAAGATTTTGAACATGGAAATTTTCGAAAACGAATTTGTGTTTGAGTTTTCCTCCAACACAAATCCAAAATGACCGGTGATTGTTACGTTTTCAAATTTCTCTGGCGTAGTGTGAACGGGGCCTCGGTGTCGACTATACCGTGTTAATGGTAAATCATACAATGGAAAATCTGCCTTGGCCTGCCGAGGAAGTAAATACATAGATTATCAATCGGAACAGCGGTCCTTTGAGTCCAAAACGTCAACAAATTCCCGCACATCAAAGTCCCTTGTACAAAGTTGTATGTACAGTTCTGTTTGCGTAGGCTAGTGAGTGACATTACTAATCTTAAGGCAAATTACAAAAGTAATTCCTCACACATTGCCTAGGCCTTATTTTGGAGATAGATCTGACAGCATTTTGAAATTGTTATGGCCCTGGCTGGGAGTGTGTCATGGTCCTATCATCTGCCCATAAAGTTTGAACTTTCAAGTAGAAGTTAAAATAAAGATAAATATACAGGGCTACTTAGTGAAGATGGCAAACAAAAATGAAGAACAATATACCTTTTACCTAGGTAAATCAGTATCTACTTGAACATGTCTTTAAATCTTGTTGTCTGATATAAGTTTTGTTTCGATATTGCTCATGTAAATCGAAAGTGCAGAATAAGTGTGACTCCTAGAATCCAGGCGAAAAAGCCGAGTTGGCGAAAAAATTGTTAGTAGACCTTGACAACAAATTGCTCGCAGATTTTCTTTCTTTTCAGTCGTTGAAAGAGCAAACTGAGACTAGACAAAGCGTAATCTTCAAACATGCTTCTGACTGATTGAATGAATTTGCATTTAAGGAATACCTTGTAAGATACCGCATACCGAGAGACTAAATTTTGAAACTTGCGAGGCCAATTATGAAATGAGAAAAATGTGCTTACCTGAATTGTTACATGAACAGCTGGGCCCGACTTTTCCCATCATTAGCAGAATGGCAAGCAATACTGCTATCGCAGCAATGAAAACGATTAGAAACATCAAAACAAGACGAATTATCCCATCTCTTCTTCTTCGTCTTTGTCTTGCATGTTTATCTGAAGGTTGCGAACTTCGTTTGTCTTTCATGTTCCTCAAGTCCGTTCCTGGTCCTACATTGTCGTACACAACATCAGGCCCTTTTAGCTGTCTCGGTTTTACCGCATTGTTCGTGTTTCTTTGCAGTGTATTGTATGCGCTGTTCGATCCAGCTTCGTCATACAACCTATTTCCAATTGCGTTTAAACTAGTGTTGCTTTTTCGTTCCGCGAGGTTCTTTGAACTTGCGGAGAGTGTCGGATTAAGGAAGCCGTTTTCGTAGTGGCGAGCCATCTGCGAGAGAATATTAAACTGAAGAAACAACTTCAAAGTTTAGATATGCTTTGGTTTCAAAACTCCATTATAGCAGCGGAAGGTCACAAGACTTGTTCAGCTTCAATAATAATTCATTTGCGTACAAGCCTGTTTATTAATTTCACGTTTCAGTGAGCAAATACGCAAAGACTCTTTGAAATATCGAGTGGGAAACACAACGGGAACACAAGAGATCGCAAGGGTGTGATTGGCTGAGCAAAAATTACAAGGGTTAACCCGTGATGGACAAGAGAAGTCAAGACATGTTAAGACGTGAAAAGTTGAACTAAAAGGGAGATTTAAGGATTACTTTATTTGCTCTTTTTTTTGCAGACGACAATGGAAGTTCATTTCTATGCGTAAGCAGACATGTACGGCAGTCACTTACAACTCCCAATGGAACCGCTCATTTTAAACTGATGTAGTCGCTTTGTTCTCTTTTCTCTTTTTGCAAGTGTTGTTTAAAATGGGGAGAGAGCACGTTTTATTTTATGTAATGTTCCGCAAGGGTGGCGTGACTCTCTCGTGTAGTAACATTTAACTCCAGTTCAATAGAAGAGTACTTTGCTTTCATTCATACGTTGTGCGTGAATTAAGGCAGGTTGTTGGTAAGCGTCTGAGCAAATGAAAAAGAATAAATAGCATATTTCCCTTGGCAGGCGAATACTGCGTGTAAGAGAATACAAGACGCATAGAACAGATGAACTTGTTAGAATTGTAGATACGCTCAAATATCGAGGGACGGGCAACAGCCTCTCTCACAGAAGGATTCTTTGTCACCATACGAGGAACGGTTCAGTCCGTCACCGAGAAACGAATTAAACAACATTTTTAGTCTACAAAATCTGCAACCCACGCAGAACTAGGCCCCGGAAATAACATACTGTTTTGTTATTACGACGTTTTTATCAGTCCGAAACAACGAACTTCCGGCTATAGATGCTCGGAGTTTGTATTGCCAAATTTCCTTACATGGTCAAATATCCTTATGTCAGGGAATGTGTTCATATCGATGATGTAACAAAGACGTAACTGCGACTAAGTAGTAGGAGGGCACGTGACATTTCATCGTTTATTACAGACTGATTCTTTTAGTGTGTACCTGAATAGCAATCTTGATGTGACTCAAACGTTTTTTTGCTATACTGTGAGAATTTCCGCTCTATAGCAGCATTCTATTAAAGATTTTCAAGCGAAGGGAACTGGCCTCTTCTTTTTTAATCACATCCGCGTCATTTTCCAAAAAAAAAAAAAAAAAAAAAAAAAAATATCGTGACATGCGTTCAAACAGACTGTTAAACTTTTTAGAAATAGCCGATTTCAAAGTTTGCTGGTTGTTTCGGGGCTGACGCAAAATTTGCTTGTAAACAGCTCTCTTAAGTTTCTATAGAAGGACAGCAGTTTTATGATCGACAAACGACGGTCAAGAGACCGTCAAAAAATAAGCAAAATTAAGAAGCAAATAAGCTAGAGAGGTTTGTTTTTTGTTTGTTTTTGTTTTTGTTTTTTTTAAGTACATTGGCAAGTAGTTGAATGCACGGTGATCTGTAGACTGTAGAGTGGTAAAAAAATAAAAAAATAAAAAAATAAAAAAATAAATAAATAAATAAATAAATAAATAAATAAATAAATAAATAAATAAATAAATAAATAAATAAAT